CCAATATATAAGAACGGGTCAAAATCATCCTGTGACAACCACAGAGGGATTAGTTTAACTAGTATAATATCTAAAATACTAGCCTCGATAATGATCAGACGCCTAACTAAGACTCGTGAACTGCAAACACGAGAGAACCAAGCTGGCTTCAGACCTGGTCGTGGCTGCATCGACCACATATTAACCATTCGTCAGGTTCTAAAACACAGGCATACTTATCGACGTCCGACAATGGTGGTCTTTCTCGACTTAAAAGCAGCATTTGACTCTGGAGACCGCGAGATTCTGTGTCAGTGCCTGTGATTGAAAGGCGTACCCCAGAAGTACATAAACCTTATGAAGGCTCTTTACTCGAACACTACTAGTCGAGTCAGAGCTTATGGCGAACTGTCATCTAGTTTTGCAACCTCAAGTGGTGTCCGTCAAGGCTGCCCACTTTCTCCATTTTTGTTTAACTTCATCATAGACCTATTGATGGAAATAACACTCTCGTCGACTGAGTTCTCGGGTATTGATCTCCATCCAGGAGGTCCAATTATCGACTTAGAATACGCAGATGACATAGTCCTGTTTGGTGAAGACGCTGACAAAATGCAGAATCTTCTGGTAGCACTGAGCAACAATGCCAGAATGTTTGGAATGCGCTTCTCTCCCTCGAAATTCAAGTCGTTGCTTCAGGACTGGTCCGCATTAACACTTGAATTAAGGATAAGGAGTGAACTAGTCGAACGCGTTGACAACTTCACTTATCTTGGAAGTCTGATCAGCCCTAATGGGTTGGTGTCTGATGAAATCTCAGCACGGATTCGAAAAGCTCGTTTGGCTTTTGCCAACTTACATCACCTGTGGCGAAGGCGAGATATCCGTCTATCAATAAAAGGACGAGTATACTGCGCGGCAGTTCGTTCTGTTTTAATTTACGGCAGCGAAACATGGCCCTTAAGAGTAGAAGACACTCGTAAGCTATTAGTATTTGACCACAGATGTCTTAGAAATATTGCTGGCGTCTGCTGGGATCACCCGGTAAGTAATAGTGAGGTTAGACGCAGGGTATTAGGAAATGATGGTAAATCAGTTGGTGAGGTTATGAATCTTCATCGACTGAGATGGTTGGGCCACGCGTTACGTATGCCTGAATACCGATTACCACGACGTGCAATGCTATCCGGTATTGGAGATGGTTGGAAGAAAGTTAGGGGCGGCCAAACCAAAACGTGGCATCAGTGCTTGAAGTCACTAACTTCTAGTCTGAGCCATGTTGGTAGGTGCAGACTACTTGGTTGGGGTCCGCGTGGCTATCGTAACCGATGGTTGGAGACTCTTGGTGACATGGCTCAGAATCGATCACAATGGCGTCGCTGTACACACTTCCTGTCTTCCCTTAAACTAAGAGATTAAAATCGCTTCATACCTTTCTTTCTACGAACCAATTTTTTCTTCTTGTACTATATCTCTATATGCATTCTTTCTCTTATATATTACCACCTTTGACCTAACCACTCCTATGAATCCGGTGTTCATCTTGCTGTGCTAATGAGGTATGGCAACTTGGACCGATGTACATATGTTCCTGGTCCTACGTTGTAGCTGACTGACTTGTGCTTCTAGCCAACCATTAGCTTTAGAAAGTCTTGCTTGCATGGCTGATAAAATTTTAGAAGCTACACCTTGTACAGACAATATCAGAAACTTCCAACGACAAGCAAACTCCTACCATAGCATCGTTAACTACTGAGTTAGGCGAACTACGAGCACATCACGAACGAACTGTTGCCAGTCTCAAAAGTAAACAAGATGCATTACAATTATTAATTTCCAATTGCACATCTCGAAGGCCTCGCTCCAGTTCTCGGAGGAGTAAGGATCGAGACTTTTCAAAAGAAAATAAAAAATGACGACCACATATGTTGGTACTATAGAAAATGCGGTTTTTATTTTGTCTATACAAAAATCACTGAATATACGTCACGCAATAGAAAATTCTGGGGGAAAGGCACAAAAGCCCCAAAATAGGGAGATTACGTATGCATGGTATTGTTCAATCATTTCTTGATTACCAAATACGCATTAAGATGTTTTAAAGACTCAGGAAATATTATCAAAACTTCATTTCCTATCCATCTATATTTACCGACGGATTGTTGGCAGAAACAATACATGTCATCTTTTCTGCGACTGCCTGCCCAACCTCCCGATTTTAGAGAAGGTGCACTAGAAAGTTTTGGGGAAATATAGCAAAAACTACGAAGTTCCTACTGGTGTAAAGTTTTCCCTCAAAATTCCAAGTTATATTGGAGTTTTGGGTTTTTCACAATATCCCCCCAGACTGGCGGGAACTACGAATTCTTATATGACTTTGGGGAGGAACCTAAAATTTCCCATACTTTCCCCGAAATTCGGAGATCGGACTGACATCGCACCATCTAGTGACAAACGGGTGGACGTGATTTCTAAGGTCCTTCTAGTCTGTAAGAAACTGTCAAGACCGACTGTTCGCTTGTAGATTTTTTACTACTGTTTCTTAGACAAACTGTGGACTCTACCAGATGGAAATCCCTTTTTCAGTTTTTATGTACTCATTTAACGTTGTCATCCTTAAAATAAATTAGAAAAAGCCCTTTCATTCAAAATTATTTTTTTATTTATGTGGAACGGGTATACTTGTACTTAATTGAAGGCATAATCGTACAAATGTCGTTGGTGGCGCTGTAGCTTAATTACATCAGTAGTTTACAATCAGTGTAAGGCCAGCGAAACCGGAGGAAGATGCCACAGAGACCCCAGATAAACGCCCATAAAACAAGCCCTCTGGAGAGCGAATTCGTAGTACTTCACTAAAGTCTTGAATACGGGTCTCGGTCTCGGGTAGGCAGCAAACGTCGATATTAAGACTTTCCAAAGACAGCCAGCCGTATCTGTTGTCAGACCTGCATAAGTGTGCGAACGTTGAAGGCGGCCAGTTTAAATGGTGCACGTGGTTTGAGAAAAACTGCTTCAGTGTTCGTATTTGGTGGTAGCATACAATTTTCAACCGGACAGTGACTCGAGAACGTTTAGATAAAACCGAGTTTCCACCATAGGCGAGCTGCTGTATAAATCGAAAAATAAGGACACATAAAGTGGGAATAAAAGATAGTGAATAAGTGACGTAGTAAATAATAATAATAATATGAATTGTTTGACTGTAAATCGAAGCGAGAATAGAGTTTTCAGTACATACCATCATTTTCATTATATTTGTGTGTGGGCTGTGATAATGACCGGGTGCCCAGACCGAAGCAGGTGGTTTTTATAGTTAGCCACACCCCGAGCCTTTGACCTAAAGGTCTAACCCACAAGGCAGTGGAGCAATGTAAGGAGATGCAGTCCCATGGTAGCCGGTGACCAACGATTGGTTCATACGCCATTTGTTCCATCAGGATACTGGAGCCCATGTGCACCATCGGTTTGGAATCCGGGTAAAGCGCCGGACATTCGCTTTTCGTCCTCTCATTTTTGTAAACAACACCCCCGCCACGAGAAGGCAGTGAGTAGGACTTCCCTGGCAGAGGCTGTATACGCGTGGCCGTGTGAGAGCATTTCGAGCGGGAGGGCGGGCCCACCCCACTCTCGGTCATAACCAGGGCATTTGGGGGCTTTCATGCTTAAGATCGATACTTGTTGAAATGGTTGCTGGCCGGGCAGTCAGTCAGTCCGTAAAAACGTAGGACTTCGTACGCATGTACATCAGTTCGAGTTGCCACACCACATTAGCACAGAGATGCAGTGGTCGATTCAAATCCCGTAGCGGTAAAGGTAATAAGAGCATAAGCGGTAATCGGGAAGATTAGTGTTTGGAGATGTTACTTAAAGAGTATAATACAGTGAAATAAATTTGGGAAGAGAAAAAAAAGAGACAAGGAGGAATAAGATCAAAATTTGGGAGAACACAAAGAGTGTATGCACCTGCGCCATTGCAAACGATTTTGAGCCATGTCATTCAGGGTCTCTAACCATCGGTTGCTATCATCTGCTGGCCGGGCAAAAACCTTGCTGTTAAAACTACAGTTTCTAATCCTTCTGAACTCCGGTCAGTAAGACTTATCCATATCCTTAGGAGAACAACGAGATGTATTTTAAATCTGATTTCATCGAAAAATAAACTATCGTTCTAAATTCGGTGATATCATCTGCTCGAATGTCTTAATTGGTTAGATAATTGTTGGGATATTCAGAAAAATATCCCAAAAATTATTCTGTTAAGTCTAACGCTATCCTTGGGCTTGGGATGGTGTCATTTCCTCATTGGTCAATATTCATATAACGTGTCATTTTCTTACTGGTCAATATTGTACAATGTTATTTTCTATTTTATGGTACGATGTGGTTTGTTTGACTGGTATATAAACAAAGTATGTTTGAAATATAACGATTCATATCTCAGAGGTTAAGACTTGCGTTCTGGATTCAACTGGCTGGGCTAGACAGCGAAGCAGGGCCAATCGAGACTCTAGGTCGTTCGTATGTGTTTTACGTGTCATTGATCCGATCGATAATACGCTGCTCCATAATCTGCAGTCACACACGCGTTACAACAATAATGTAAGCAACAACGAAGCACAAATTCGTTTACTTGGTTTGACTGTACTTTTCCTGTCTCAGCCATAAAAATCGAGTACTAGGTGCAAATGTACTAACCCAGTTTGTCACATTTTATATGAACATTGTAAAAGGAAGTTATGATGCAAAACAAAAAAGCAGCTTTACTAGTAGTAGCGATAAGTATAAAATTTAAGTACAAATAATCCACTTTATTTAGCGAGTATCTTACGCCTAACCTCAGCATACAATAACACTGCCCAGCCTTATTGCAATCGACATTGGAACATATCCCCCTTTCAGATACTAAATGAAGTACTATTTATTGCATACTAGTATTCGTCAGTTATTTGCTACGTAATATTGTCGAAATTCGAGCTTTTTTTATCTAGCTAACTATTGTTTTTTTATTGAATACCAAGTAAACAATGTCCATTTTTGACCAATTTCGAGATATTGAACCTGATCGCATCCGCAATAGCATAGTATCAATTATTGCAGGATTTTTATTTGCATTAGGCTGGTGGATAGCAATTGACGCAGCTGTACTTTTCGCTGAAAACAATTCTTTACCTAATGCATATCATACAGCTGGAGTATTCAGCACCATTGCTTTCATATTAATTAACAGTGTTCCTAACGGAGTGGTAAGTTTTAACTATTGGAAATTAATGGTTTTCTAAAGTAGTTTTCATTTCTTAAATGATTGTTTGAAATATGTGTAAACCATAACTAATTCACCAAATACAGGTTTTTCTAGCCGGATTGATATTTACTCGAAATAAACCTCGATTCCATACCTAACGTTTCCCTCATCATCATTTAGTTCAGTGAAACTGCTTACCCGAGACCTAATCTTAGCCATCTAAGACATGTAAGTACAGGTAGAAATATGTTTCCCCTCAGATATATTCGTGAAGTTATTTAGCTGTTGAGAGCTTATTTATTTATTATTTATTTTAACACATAGATATTGGTACAAGAAAGCACCAAATACATATGCGCCACACAAATCTTATTCGATATGTGCGAGGGCTGTGATACTGCCCGGGTGCCCAAACCGAAGCAGGTGGTTTTCTTAGGGGGCCACTCCCCGAGCCTTTGACCTAGAGGTCTGACCCACAAGGCAGTGGAGTATCGTAAGGAGATGCAGTCCCATGGTAGCCGGTGACCAACGATTGGTTCATACGCCATTTGTTCCCGCAGGATACTGGAGCCCATGTGCACCATCAGTTTGGGATCCGGTTAAAGCGCCGGACATTCGCTTTTCGTCCTCTCATTTTTGTAAATAACACCCCCGCCACGAGAAGGCAGTGAGTAGGACTTCCCTGGCAGAGGCTATATACGCGTGGCCATATGAGAGCATTTCGAGAGGGAGAGCGGACTTTCCCCACTCTCGGCCGTACCAGGGCATTTGGGGGCAAAGGCGTTGCGCCCGATGGGGCTTGAAAGAAACTGAAGCAAATTTCTGAAAACTTTGCCGACAAATTTGGACTTTTGATTTCAGTCAACCATAACAAACTTAGTTTCATTTGAATCCACCGAAGCAAATTGGAATATGTTTTGCGACACTTTAGAGGGATTTTACAACACTTGAAACAGGTTTGAAAAGTTCTTTTTGGGGATTTATTTCGAATAAAGATCAGTTATATCATTCCTGTTACTTTACATATCACCATGAGTATTTAAACTAATCTCTTTAGCAAATGTTAGAGTCGACATTGGAGATAAGGGTGACTGTTGATATACTCTTTTGTTGAAGCAAAGGATAATTGCTAACTATACGGATGCTACAAAACTGAGGCCAGACACGTCTCATCCTGCAAATAAGTGACCTGGCGCTGCCTCTCAGCAATAATCGACCATGCAGAGTTCGGTTGATGACATGTGCTACTAAAATAACAACCGGAGTTAATGTGTTTGCAAAGCTCTAAAATATCATCAGGTACTGAGGTGATATAAGTAGATTATGTCTGTTAATGGTAATCGATGGATAAAATGTCAGGGGTCGTTCATCATGTCAGTACGGTGGTTGTAGCAAGAGTTAATAGTACCATACCCAGCGGCTATTGACTAGCAAGTCTCAAGGTTTGGAGCACCTAAGAAGTCATACTGACTTGGGGGTATTGTTGAGTATGTTCTGTTCGTTTATCCATTTAACTAGATTTGTGCAAATTTACTGCATTTTTACGACCTCTTTCCAATATTTCATTCCTGTCCCATTTATAACCAATATACTTTTCGTTCATCCTTAGTCACTGACACTATTCCAGTGCTTTACTCTTCATTATATTCAGGTCGTTCCGTGATTGATTTCCTTTTTATGAAAGACTTAGACATGATTATTTTAATCCCTTGTGTCCTAAACGTACGGATTTCTTGCTCTAGTTGTTTAGTTTGCTTTGCCATTTCATATGGCTATTCACCAGTCATTGTTGTGATCATTTTGTGTTTGGTAGATTTCCTAGAGTAGGAAACACTGGTTAAAGTACTACATTTGTGACAGTTGAGACGTCGCTGTTTTGGTCTGGATATTGCCGAATTTATTTAATGCCAACAATATTAATAACTTGAAGTTGTGTATATAAACGTACAGTCTACCTTAAGTGAGACGCTATAAATCGACTTATCAAACAACACCGAACAAGTTATATGGAAATACATCAAATATGTATGACTGCATTGTTTAAGATTTCAAGCTTGTCAGAACTTAACGCCGAGATTTTAGCTAAACGCTTTATTGGGCTGTGTATGATACTACCACTGCGCGATTTGAACCAACGACTCAACCACCCAATACGCAACAACATAGATTCGCATTACTTCCGGTAAGGGGAACTTGTACTTGGAAGTTATTTCCCGTTGTATATGATATTGATCACGTGTAGTTATTGGAAGAAATACTCAGGGTGTCGTGCAGAACCATTAGCCATAAATGCAAGTCTCAGGGACGGATATATCTAGTTTCGCCGCGATGTTGAAAAGCTATTCCTCTAAATGATTTTAGTCGAAAGTAGAATTCCTCAACATATCATATGGACACTAATTCTCATGTTGTAGATTAGGTGGACGCTTTTTGTGTTGTTGAGCTATCTGAGCTAGGTTACTTAATTGCAGAATTCTCATTACCGTTTTGGCTAACATCATCGGCTTTTACCTCAGGTAGTTCCAATTTATGTTTAATTGTTAATATATGAAAAAGAACAAAGTAAACTTTACAAAAACTTAAGTGGCTATTAACTTTCCTCTTACCCTTTTTATTAGTTGAGAGATGAATTTTCAGACAGTCGTATCGGTCGTCGTGGAGCACTTATATGCCTATTTTTTGCTTTCTCAATGGCATTTAGTAGTACAATAGCTGCATGTTGGATACTATTTGGAGGTTATATCGCTGTAGATAAAACACCAGTATGGCCAGGTGTAGCTATACTATTACAAAATCTACTAATTTGTATATCATCAATTTTATTCAAATTTGGCAGAAAAGATCTTAGTGATTTCTAATCTGCTCATTTTAAAAATATTATTCTCACTTGATTGCTCACTCATTTATTGATTCATTTAATAACATTATCGTCATAGTACTAAATGTGAACAATGAATTCAATGAAAAAGCATTTCCTCATTTCATTTATTTCTTGAAAAAAATATTTTTATTTTCCAATGAAAAAAAAATTACTTTAAATAAAGTGTAAACGTTTTCATTTTTTGTTGTAACTGTGTGTGTACGTGTGTGCAATTATGTGTTTGACATAATTAAACTTTAATACCACATTTGAGAACATATCTATTGTATTCAATTAAACAACACATTCAATACATACAACATTCAATAATAATCCTTTTCATTTTCGGTGGAAAACATAAAAATGCCTCTAAAATAAAAATAAAAAGTTTTAAATAAAAGTTAAGTAATGTATGTGTCTGTGTGCGCATGTTCTGCTGTTATTTTATGAATGATTATTCCACTTACCTTGAATGGGATATTTTTTTCGGCCGAAAAATTGTTGTTCATTTTCTTCTGCAATACACTGAGGATGAATAATTCAATAGAAATATAGGTAGATAACATTCAGTCAAGATGTTACATAAAGAAAAAAAAATTCAGATGTTTAGCGGCATTATATTTTCTTGCATTGTGTAGAATTTAGTATATCTCAGAAAAAGAGCTAAACGATAGTCTTACAATATTTTGTTGTGAAGAGGAAAATAATACTTCTCTTCTATAATGCTAGTCGACGATTACCAGTCGCACAGGATACATAGTAATATACTGAAGAGATTGATTTGTAGATTATGTCTCTGACAACATAGATATCTAGAGTAAACACTTGCAGTAATCCTATGTTGACCATATCACACAGACATCGCTGTTAGATTAAATATGGTTTAGAGCTGAGCACATAAAAACACACGATGGATAAGTAGTCTCATGTAATAATGCCTTATAGATACACAAATAACTTCGCAATATATTTTGAACACATCTATCAAAAGTATAGGAGAATCCCGAGTGAAACTGTTTTACTGTTTTAACAATTTTATCAGCTTTTAAGATCGACAACGGAAATTCTAGTAGTTTTGAAGCAGTTCACAAACAGTGTCTGTCAACTTGAAATTCGTATGAAACGTGCTGAGATTGAAGTACGTTAAGCGCGATCTTCGAAATCATGGCCTATCGTTCGAAAATCATGTTTCTTTTTAACAAATAAGAGCTATTAACATGTTAGAAGTATTTCTTAATTTGTTAGCTTTAGGTGAATAAATAGAAAAATCTTGATTTGTACCTACTTTGCCAGTTATCCAATCATCCCATATAGATGACAATCCTTGTTTCTGCTTCCTTAATAAGTCATTAGTTGAGCATATCAGCGTACGACCCTCTCCAAACATGTTTGTATACCAAAATTCCGTAAGCGAGTTCATAACTTCGTCTACCAAAAGAGAATAGCGAATTTATCTAGGTTTTAAATGTCATCAAGTATATAAAATCTGGCCATTAAGCCTACAATATGAAAGTTAATCCAAATATTTTATTAGGAAGAAACATACTCCGCGGCAATATCGTCTTTCTTTAGAGAAGAGGTTGCATAGAATGAAGGTGTTTAGAAAAAGCTAGGAAAATTATCTACGGTAACAGACAAAAAGTGATTACATAAAAGTGCACCTTGTGACTGGGTATCACAGTGGACAACTATGACGACGATACAAATAATGTTTCAATGAATAGGAAATTAAATTTCTGACGTTTCGCTACCTAGTTGAAAGTAGTTTTTTCTTTAGAAAACAGCTGTTTTTTAGTTTAAAAAATTGAAAATAGTACAAGAAACAAACAGATTACATCGAATATTTAATGTATATAAATACGTCTGATCGCGCTAATGTCATTTTATACAGGTAGTCATGCAACGTAGAACATGATAATGCATTGGTTCAACTTGTCATACCACATTAACACAGCGAGTTAAAATCTCAGAGTAGTACAAACATTATCAGTAGTGAAAAAAGTATTTCGTGACTCAGGACTTAGAGTAACACGAACGTACTTAACGTTTACGATCGTCTCAAGAAGGCGATTCTTAGACATTTCCTCCCGTCTAGAGAGGGACGTTTAAAAACACTTTTAGCACGTCACCTCCTAAGCGACGCTAAACAGAGCCACCACCTCACGCGCCTGCAATCTCTCGCAGGACCTACGACAGCAGATTCTGAAATAGTTAAAGAATTGTGACTCGAATCCCTACCAGAAAGTATACAACCAACCGGTACGGCTTTGCTCGGGGACACCCCACCTAACCAGGGGGCCCTCACAACAGATAAGATACTGGCAAGGACCAGTATTCGAGACAACTATATAGTTGCCTCAACGTCCCGTTCGAACGTAGACCTCTACGCTAGTCGCCTTTCGGCTCAAGGTGATAGGGGTGGTTGTATTCATACACGTCTAAATTTCCGATATACCCGAACCCTACGTCCCTCAAGCCAGGTCACGCTCTCATAAAGCCGTAACCACTCGCCCAGCACGGGCATCTCCCAAGCCACACCGAAAGGCTGCTTCGGAAGCGAGTGCGGGCGGGTGCTGGTTCCACCGTACCTTCTGGTCCGGTGCCTGCCGTTGTCGAGCCTCTTGCTCATGCAAGGCGGGAAACTCCCGAACCGGAGAGTAAATGCAGCCGTACTCGCCAGCCCTACACCCTAGGCTGGCCGATTATTTTATGTGCACGATTATCGCACTAACGCTAGGCACCTAGTCGGTACAAGTGTCCAAGTTTCTGTTGTACCTATTGGTAACAGTAAGTCACAAGCTACGATGCTTCGACTACGCGCTGCTAATGGTACACGACAGCTCACGGTCAACCTGGGCAACCGATGACTATCCGTGGACGTTCATCACTGCCGATGTTCTCACAGCCATACTCGGTATTGATTTCCTACAGCACTATGAATTACTAGTCGGTTCACCTAGGCTGCAGCTAATCGATACTTCGTCGAACAGTAAATTCATGGGCTTTAAAACTCAAACAAACGCGTACCTAATCTTAGGCGTATTTCATTCGCGTGGCGATATATTCCACGCTTTATTTCCGAAATCCCCCAACTAACTAAACCTCTTGAGGAGATCCCATCAGTATGGTACACCACATAGTTACCCGGGGACTCGCAGTCACAGCAAGACCACACCGACTGGCACCTGCCAACTTAGCTTTCGCTAAACGTGAGCTTGACAATTTACTAGCTACTGGCATTATTCGTCCTCCTCACAGTCCCTGGGCCTCACCTCTCCACATGGTGCGCAAAAAGGATGGGGTTAGTTGAAGAGCATGCGGCGACTACTGAGCAACAAGCGTAGTTACACGCTTTGAGAGCTACCCCATCCCCCACATACACGGCATCACTCAAGGGCACGACTATTTTTTCTAAGACCGATCTGGTACGAGCATATCATCAGGTCCAAGTCGCTCTTGAAGACATCGACTCCTTTCAGTCTGTTTGAGTCCCTACGAATGCCATTTGGATTACGGAAGGCTGCTCAAACTTTTCAAAGGTTTATCGATAGCATGGTACGAGACTTAGATTTTGTTCACGTCTATATTGATGACCTACCTGTTAATTGCATCATCAAACGTAGATGAACATTATCAACATCTAACATTCCTATTCCAGCGCCTTTTGGACAGTGGAATGACAGTCAACCCTGACAAGTGTGAACTAGGCAAACCAGAAATAAAATTCTTAGGTCACATTATTAAGCAAGAGGATATTTTACCTTGTGAGGACAAAGTACGTGCAATAATGGAGTACACCGTGCCATCCACACTCAAAGAACTGAAGGCATTTATCGGTTTGGTTAACTTCAACCGACGTTTCATCACACACGCGGCAGAATGGTTACGACCATTAACCGACTTCGCGGTAATCCACGCAAATTGGAGTTGGACGATACCGCACTTACTGCATTGTCAGAGACCAAAACGGCTCTGGCTCAAGTCACACTCCTTGGAGAAAGCTGGCCTGGTCACCCACGCTCTTGTCAACGCACTCAGTCGATGTTCTGGCTACGAATATGTCTGGTATACGTATGGTCTCGAATTTGGTTTTTTGGCTCAATGTGGTTCCATCCTACGTCTGCATTACTTTCTGGTCCGGACCCCTACGAACGCAATCCTCGGATTCTGGATACAAACCACTCTGATGTAGTACGCTAATTCGAGCAATAAATACATCACGTTCCTCTTGGTACTGTTCTACGTAAAAGACCTTCGGTGGCAACTCGAGGATCAACGACTGCTTCCTGTTCTGCCAACCCTTTCGTCCTACAACCACACGTTTGCTGATCAGTCCCACGAACGAAACCGCTACGTATCGAGAGTGTAAACCCTTTCTAGAGGGGGGCTCCTGTAATGACCTACTTTTATGAAGAGAACGCGATTGGTATAATGGAAACAATTATTATTATAACCAATTGTACCAGTGATTGTTTTACTGTACTTGTTTGTTTAAGTGTACTAAACACACACATTCTTCCGTTAACTGTGACCTTGCGCGAACTCGGTTACGCTCAGTACTTCCACTTGTATTCTTTGGCACGATCTCAGTATTCTTTCGATACCACGAGATTGCTAACAAATATATCTTATTACAACCGTTAGCTGCCTTCTGGTTTTTGACATACGAAGGAATCCAACCTAATAACTGGCACGTAGTCTCAGTGCAGTGGTGATCATAGTCAACCGCGACTCGACGCCACGCTACAACGCTACAGCTCGAAAATAAGAGATGAAATAATCACAGAATAAAAAGAATGAAGTCATAATGGAACGCAGAATTTAAGGGAAGGTAAAATGGATGCAGTTGTATCACTCTCACCGATTTTGAGCTATGGACTGCTCGAGGCCTCCGATCATTGATCGGAATTATCAAATAAACTTCAACCGGGTAGTCTACACATTAGACTTACAATTATGCCTAACACATGTACCAGTCACCCCGGTCGATAAGAACGCATAACCGATATAACACATTTGCTTAGTATCCTATGCGTAACTTGATTATTGCTTATTCAATTATTTCACTAAGTAAAAATGTAAAGTCTAATAAATAAAATCTTACTGGCAAGTGATTGACCCAATTCTATTGACTGAGTTAGTTCATGTAATAGACCAACTTCTTCGTATTTACTACCCGGTTTTGAGCTCCATTTCTTTGCTTCTTGTTTTCGTTTAGCTTTTATTGAACGTCTTTATCGGAACAAAAACAGAATGAGCGTATACAACTAACCACAATGAAAAGAAATTTATAAAATTTTCCTCGGTATGTATACATATTATATGCACTATACAATGGGTGTAGTGTTTACTTATATCATAAATATAATGGTTGAATTTCTTTGGGCTGTAAAAACTGACAAATTTGAGACGTATGTATTTATGTTTAACAGATTACTGTCTACTCAGATTTACAAAATGGTGTTGGTGGAGCAGTAAGTGGTTTAATCATTCAAGCAGTTGAGCTTTGACTAACGAGTTAATGGTTCGAAATCTGCTCTACTTAGTTCAATTTAGGTAGCCAGGTATTAAAATTAGTCCTCATATGTACATATAATTTTGGCACAAACCAGGATACAGAACTCGTACTTAGCAAATAGAATGGCAGGTGTGTTGTCCATTAAAAAATGCCCATGAAGAGACATTATATTAATTTATAAAGTTAACAATCACTAGTCTCAATAATGTAAAAAAAACATGCCAGACTGAAATGTTGAATAAGAAACTTAACTGTTTCAAGTTTATGCTAGTCAGTCAGTCAGTAACAATGTAGAACTTCGTACTTATGCTAACCCAAGCAGGTTCAGTATTTTCTCATTCTAATATGAAACTCTTCATTCTTACTTATTTCTCCCTAGGTTTTTTCATGTAAAATTTCAAATACCAGCATTTTAAGCTGATAAAATACCCGCGTATATGACTAGGTTGTAATTAACTGTTTCAACAGCCGAAAAATAATAAGGTTCCCGAGCAGTTATGACTTACTACATACTATTAATCATGGATATCATTTGATGATGGAGTATGAGCAAGGAAATATAAGTCTCCGTTCAAATAAATAATCTTATATCCGAAAAAGATTAAATGAATGGTAACTTCCAGGAATTACTTATGGATTATATACATATATATATATATATATATATATATATATATATATATATACCACTTTCGTCATAAGCTTTAATTTGACCCGTTAATTACTTTTATACGACCTACTATTCTTAATTTATTCTCAATCTATTAGTTACAGTCTCCTATACTCACAGCCACTTTTGGTTTGATCTTATACAATTGGTATTTTTCATTTTGTGGTGCGATTTGGTTTGGTCTGCTTTTATATAAAATACGTATGTCTGAAATGTAATATTAATATAGTGAGGGCTAATTATTGTGTTTCGAACTTAACGAAGACGGCAAAACGAGAAAGTTTTGCATTGAAGACCCATAAAGATTTAGAATTTTCTAGAAGGCTACTAATGCTGGTTGATATTTCAGGGACAAGGTCACAGAAGTCGATATTCTGATTGGTGGTTTTGTCACCTGATATTAGATAGGGCCATAAGAAATGATACTAATGATAAAAAGTGAAGTAAGAATTATACTTACCAAAAATATGTTTGTAACCGAAACAGTGTTGAAGATAGTTACATCAATCATATTTATTAGGTATTTTTAAAACACTGAGGTATTGATTAACCTCAAAATGATAGTTTGGCTGTCTGTTTAAAGCTGAATTATTACAGTTGTTACCGAGAGAAATAAGTATTTTAAGCATGGAATATTTTTCAAAACACCAACTCTTAGTAAATTTTAAAAAAAGCTACATCGTTGTGATTCATTTGTTACTACGGTGACAAATGAAAATATAAAATATAAAGTATTGACTATTCCATTGTAAGATCTCATTAAAGAAAACTCATCCTAATGAGTCGTAGATTCATTCATATGTGGATCTTACACTTTGTTTGTTCAAACAACGAAAACGTAAGAGATTATTCAGTACACTGCACTACATTATTGAAGTGTAAAAATTAAGCTTACCCGGATTTTTTTGATCCTGACGTCCGCAAACTTATTTGGCTCATTGAACTGGTTATACTATCTCCCGACATACTACTTGTATCTGAATTGATATCAGATTCAGAAAAGTTATCATCTGGAAGAGATTTTTTAGAGAAGAACACAAATAACAGTATGAAATTTATCATTTAGTTTCTCTATAAGTAATCTTTCAGAAATATCTATTCTTGAATAATAAATAGGAACTTTCGTCTAAATTTGAACGGATATTTTCACAATATTTGGGCGTCGAGTTAATGTGATACATTAAAGAGGAAGAATGTATTTGTAAAATCTCAGCGAAAGAATTTGAAGTAAATCCAACGTTTCGCCTGGTAATCTGGTCCAAACGTTTTCACGGAAAATATTTCCCTTTTTAATATCTATTCTTTCTAGTAATTACTGATATATGCATTGATTAGTAATTAAGTGGTAACTAATGCCGTGTTTACCTGGTCCTACTTTGTGCTGGTTGAATCCTACCGATCGAGTTCCAATGTGGCTAGTCATTGGTTTAAGTGACTCGACATGGCGTGCACTACACTTTGATATTAGGTGGTCGGATTTAGTCAACTGGAAACCCTGGATCTAAATTTCATGCTAATTATCATTCATCAGCAAGGTAAATCTGAAATGAAGACTATTATTAATGATCACGTTATGTATTTATAAAAACTAGTTAATTACAAAACCAAATAGTTATCTATGTAATCCAAAAGCTTCGATTAGAATTCTACTTAATACTGAAATTCAGTTCTTTTTAGCCACTTATCAAGCAATAAATTTGTCAAAACTGTAATCCCTTCGTTTTCCGTCATTGTTTTAGATTGTCTTTATCAATGACGTTGCTGTTACTAAATGTATGACCGATAGTGTGACAACTTCTAGCTAGGATTTAACTTTCTTCCCCTATATTTGTTGGCACGACAGAGTCATGACTGTTGCATGCTCTGGTCATGCTCCAAGCAGAATCCGCGGTTTGGTCCATTTCCAACCAGTCACCGATCGCCATCAAGTCGAGATACTACAAGTTTCTTATGTAAATTCAATATAAAGTCTGATGTATTTACTCCTGCATTCTTTGTTGTATATTGTGCATACAGTTCACTGTTAGTTCTGGTTCTGGGAACGATTGATTAGAAAAATATCATGAGTCAGGGAATAATAGACAACATAAAAAGTTACAAAAAAGGGAATTTGTCTTTTTTTTCAATTCATACGATAATCAATACTTCGAGAGTGTTCAACTATATCAGTAAACCGAATCACACAAGCTTGGTAAGTAAGTGTATCGATTTAGTTTGTTTCAACATCATGACTATTGTTCTTTATTACAATGAAAGGAATGATTAAGTAAAAACATTAAAACTACAGTATGAGGATATAGAAAGACACGTTAGGGATCCGAATCATTGGTATCGATTTCAAAGTACATACTGTTACATACGCTACAAATTTAATATGGATGACCCTAAAAAAGGTCAAATCAGCATTCATTTACTTCATATTTACAATGCATCCTAATTATATGTTAATTAGCGCAAAATTCATCAAAATGACTCAACTTATGTTTCCTGAAAGCGATTTATTCAATAACTTTATTGTATGTAATATTTTTATTTTTGTAGCAATACATTAAATAATTGTTGCCTAATACTTCAGTAAACTTGCAATGATTACCACACTTTGTTTGAATTAATTCACTGTTAAATCTGAACAATGATATAACTAGTATATGTACATGTGACTGACAGCCTATATTTGACAGTGATAATAACAAAAGGGAATTGATAACATCGATACAACATTTAAAGTCAATAATAATGGAAGAAACCATCCAGTTAGGAAAAATACAACCAGAAAGAATTCTTCCAGTTAAAGAAGTTACTTTCACTTTTATAAAGGAAGTAAAAAGTCACAACAGAATCGCCGCTGACTTATATTCTCAGCCATGTCTGATAACGTTTCTAGCCACTGTGCTGCACCACGTTTAAGACTCCAACTAAGGAGTCGTGAAGGACCAACAAAAGACAGTTCCGTACAGCTTTCTTTCTTACCACAACAACATGTCACACACTGACCGCCACTCCGCCTTTTCCAACCAGTCCGAGTCGGCAAGTAATGCACGACATGGAATTCTCTGGGACGACATTCGTAAAACATGTCCAAGCCACCGATATCGGTGTTTCAAGATGGTGACATCAATTGAATTATTGTTGTTGTGCCCAAATACACGATGTCGAACCTCTGCATTACTAACATGGTTTTGCCACTCGATGTCAGCAATCCGTCGGAGACAAAGATGATCAAACACGGAGACTTGTCTAACATCCTCAATTCGGAGAATTCGAGGTTCACAAGCATAAAGCAAAACAGCTTTCACGAAATACAGAATATATTGTTATAACTTCATAAATATATAAAGGCAAACATAAAATTGGTATATAATAAGTAAACACAAACTTGAACAGTGTAAGCTAAAACTCACTGCTCATAACGTAGTGTTAAGTACATTCACACGTGAAAAAAAACCCTAGGAGTTGACTAGATCAATGCATAGGATTAGTCCATTAAGTTGTTGACTATTGATCGAATTCACAGCAACATGAAGTGCAGATTTCGTAGGTAATATCTGTTGGGATGATTTCAGATCTAAGGGATGCCATGATTACTCATAACTGGTTGTTCTAAAGCTGGAGATTTTTAATATTTTGCTATTTGTCCTGAGATTTCATTCGTTACCTATTAGTGATTTATTTACATCTTTCACTGTGCCGATATACTGTGGTGGTACTTTATGAGCCTTTTAGTAATTTGATTTACAATAAGTTGTAAATATTTTAAAAAAGCGTGTAGATATATGTGATTAATAAACACAAGATTAGTTAATTAAAACGAATCTAGAACAGACTACAAGCAGTGCAACATATTCAAGACTGAACAAAATATATTCCGTTAATTGGGATTCAGTATATACAATAAACCATCACATAATCGTTATAAGTAAAGATGGATGGTGGCTAGCAGTGAAATCCAAAACGCGCTTTTCATCAGCTGGATATATGCCAATAAGAAACGGATAAATTGCAGTCCTAAACATTAATGGGGAGATTCAAACAAACAATACAAAATGAATTTATCAAAAAATCGGTTAATTTACAAACATTCTAGCCCTGTACCCCTACCTCTAGTAAATCTAATCATGCCAAGACTTACCAAAATACTCTCTATCACCATGCATCTGAACAAATCGTTGTGTTTCCGCCTGTTGTTTATGCATTTGACGTAGAGTAATTAATCGATCGAATAATTTATCGTATGTATCAATGGATTTACGCAATTTTTCTTTTAAGATAGAATAATGTTCACTTAGAGAAGATTTAAGGATTTGGTTTAAAAATTCTTGTTTATTATACAATGATGCCTATACAACACATATGAAGAAAAAGAAAGAGGGAGAATAGAGAAACTTTTACAGGTCAAATACGGAAAAAAATACTTCAAGTCCGATTGTCTGAGGGAAAATCCTGTTGACAACAGATGATCAGAATTGACCAAATTTGTTCTACTAGAATAGATTTATTGACTGATTTATATTCAGCTGTAGATAACTATGAAGGATATTTTTAGGATATACATTTGGAAAGAGTACACTTTGTACAGTCAATATAATATGCTTCAAAAGAGCATGTTTTAATAGATTGTACAGTTATTTAAGTAAACTAAACAATCATGACGTATTCTTATTTAGAGGATTTAACTAAGAAAAACACTGACATTGAAATGAGATAATAGTTTTTCAGTAACTTCAGAGTTTTTTTTCTTCATTTAATTCGGTCAAGACTTCATCAAATCATTGTTCGTTGAATTTTGGATGTTTGTAATATGAACAGTTTTATTTATTTAGAACTAAAATAGATCTTGATTTACGTTTTTAATAATTTTTTGTCAGTAAGCTCTCAGAGCGTCTAGTACTATGTCATGCCTACATAAATTATTCTGAGGTTTAAACAGACCAATGAAATTATTCTTTTTGAAATACCATCCGCTTATATTCTAACTTTGTTAATTATTCACTTACAACATTGACTGATTTTATATCATTAATTATTTTATTTATCACGTTTTTAGCTTATTTTTCTGTTTGGCTATAAATAATAGTGAGTAACACTTGAACCATCGGAATTGGCATGGTTCCCTTCTCCGTATATTATTTTCATTTGTCTGAGTAAAATAGTGCCTGAAATGAATTCGTATATGGTTTTGTATTAACGTCGTCGCCGAAATGGGTTAGTCCAATTAGAGTATACGAAATCAATCGGAGAATTTATGTCCGTTGCCCATTTATTGTTCGTCTATAATGGAGTCAGATAGTGGAATGAGAAAGTGGTAAGCCCGAATTAGAACAAAACGCAATCCTTTAAAACTCCATGAGGACAAAGTATTGTTCTCAACATACACTCTAGATGTAGTGTTTATGACTTTTGTATTGATAAACACAGTTAATTACCATGGTAGATTTATATAAATCTGAAAAATACTGAACATCTATCTCCGACTGTTTTATATGTCAGAAGTCGGTATAGATGTCTTAATCTTTGATTAATTTTAAACAGTGGTTGAGTTGCCATACAGATAGTGATATTTTTTTCAAGAAATTTCAACACAAAGATCAGACTGAAAGAAACCACAAAAGTGTATGTGAAAAGTATGCATAATCAAACTTGTTTTCCCTGGTCCACGCGATATGGTTGACATAATACCTACTACTATTCATTTTAACTTTACAATATTTAGATCTTCCTTACACCACTAATCTCATTTTCATCCTACACTCTTTACTTCTTCATGAAGTATTTAACAAATTCAAATTGTTCCTACGTATCGTACTACTACTATTACGAGTACCGGTATTAAAGCTAGGTTGATGAAGTACTTTCACTCCAATACTGGGACGAAACGGCCGTCCAGTGTTTTCCATGGTGGTCTAACTTTAACTGACTCATGAATTCAACTGATGAAGGTATTTGCATGGTGTTTTCTCAAAGCCACTAAATAAACGCAACTGATTAACATTGTACATTGAACACAAACAAAATACAACAAATACGAATTATTATAAATATGATTTTCAAATGACAATTTTTCCCTCACAAAATTTCTATTATTTCAATATTTAATATGATTTATATAGTTTTTATCCGTATCTCAATGTATGTATACACACTGATTGATTTTGTCACAAAAATACAATGCAGTGTATTGCATATTATCTATTGCGAAAAAATCTTAGAATTATGTAGTTTGAGAGGATAGTTGGGTTAGTGTTCTTATTAGCATGAAATTGATTTACAAAATCGTTTTGGTTCTCTTATAGCTTAAGTTTTTTTCTGTTTGGTTTACAGTAATCGTTTTGTGTAGAAAAGAAGAAAACAAACTAATTCAATTTACATTTTGTATTTTTGTGTGTTTGTGAATCAGATCGATAAATACCGGTATTGAGGGGATTTTTAACTACACTCTATTGGCATTATTACTATCATTATTTAATCTGAATAAAAGTGAAAGTATTTATGCTGATTTGTTAAAAAAAAATAAACAAAAACTTTATTTTATGAATATTTTTCGTATCTACTACCCAAAAAGATAAAGTAGTCTGTTTTATGAAGTTTGGCCTTTATAGGTTACTAGTGTTCGATCATAAGTGCCTTTGAAGCATTGTTGCCGTATCGTGGAATGACCAAGTGAGCAATATTACAGTGAGACGCACAGTACAAGGTGAGTATGTCGGATTTACTGAGGATGGTGAATTTCGATTAACTGGGGTGATTACAATGTGCATTACTTATGCCTAACCACTGTTGACTTCAACGCGCGATGATGACTTGTGTAAGAGTAGGTTGAGAGAAAGCTAAGAGTGGCTAAAACATTAAGTCATTGACTGTTGGACTCAGTCGTGCAGGTAGGTCCAGATTAATTGGTTGAGGTCCTCGAGATTATAGTAACCAACGGTTAGACGTTGGATAGCTTAGAATCAATTCCAATGACCTAGATGCGTTTACTCTTAATATTCTCTTAGCTTTGAGTTTTAAATTGAGCTCATACTTTTTATCCTATCAATTCGATTATTTGTTCTCAAATCATATTGTCTGTGGATAAAATTTCCTACGACGACTGATACTGTTGTTACTACTTTTAGTATCCTGGAATTTATCTTGATAATCTCATCTGACGGTGTTATTACAGTGTGACAAAGTGAACTGATTCGTGTATACTGCTAGGTTCTATGTTGTTTATGCATGATATTTCAGTATTTTATAAATAAATTGTACCATTTTATACAACAAAATAAATATTTTGTTAAAAACATGTTATTCAATAAAATATGAAGCATTACCAATCGATGAGCATCCATCCACAGGCAATCTTCACAAGCTGTTCTGATGGCCATTACAGGATCCTATGGTGAATCAAAGGACAAGAAAATAATAGAAACAAGATTTATAATAAAAATTTTCAATAATAAAAAGCAGTTTCTATTTACAATTGTTTGAGCACGCAAAATGTGTAATAAAAGAATTGTCAAGACTTCATAAACTCATTGTTTGTAGAATTTCGTCTGTTCGTAGTGTGAAGAGTTTTATTTGCTTAGAGGTTCGCACGATTATGGTAACCAACGGTTAGAGACGTTGAATGATAGAGCTTAGAATTAATTCCAATGTCTACTTATGTCGAGAGACATAAGTAACATACACCATAGAAGTACCTTTCATGCATTCAATGTTTAGAGAGTTTACAATTATGAGTAGATTTTAAAAAAAAATCAATTTAGAGTGAAAATGACAATGTTAAACAAATGAAATGATCGCTCCTTTAATGTAGATTGTACACAACCCCAAAATCAATTAGCTGAATTGATAGTAAATTCTCAAATGTATGACTTCACTAGTGATGCCCCCAAATAAATAATAAAAATCACTAGTGATATATTGAATGAAAGGTAATCTGATTAAGTAGGAAAGCTAAATTTTATAATGACTTTTACGCATGAATTTCCTATATTTGTGAGATGACAACGATCTTCTTCTCATAATACTATCTTTGCAGCTCTTTAGGGAATTTATTGATAAAGACTTCGTAGAGGATGATAAATTTTCCAAACAAAACTTTATTTATTTGAACATATAAATATTATTACAAAGGGGCACCGAATACATATGCACCATACAAAGCACTTGATTTGTGTGTGAGTTGTGATAGTACTCGGGTGCCCAAACCGAACCAGGTGGTTTTCTTAGGGGATCACACCCGGAGCGTTTGACCTAAAGGTCTTATCGACAAGGCAGTGGAGCAACGTCAGGAGATTCAGTCCATGGTAGCCAGTGAACAACAGTTGGTTCATGCGCCATTTTTTCCTTCAGGATCCTGGAGCCCATGTGCACCATTGCTTTGGAATCAACGTCTTCTAACTCCCCTTAGTTACTGCTCTACATCCAACAACCCGGTTAAAGCGCCGGATATTCGCCTTTCGTCCTCTCAAATTCATAAACAATACCCTGCAGCGAGAAGCCAGTGCAGTGAGCAGGACTTCCCGGCAGTGGTTGCATGCACGTGGCCATCCCCCGACCGCACCAGGTCATTCGGGGTCAAACAACTACTTATGGCTATGATAAAGATTTAATAAGAAACGCTCAAATAAATGAGGTAATCCAGTGATATTTCTACAATATTAAGATGGTGGATTTAATAATTAGCATTGAAAAGCTGATAAACTACTTAAGACAAATAAACTTTAACGGATTTCATTGCTTCTGTTGTGAAATATTTTTTATTTATACAGTTTGTTTGCTTATAGGTTATTTATTTTATTTATTTAAACGCGTAAATATTCGTACAAACATGCATCGAATAAATATGCGTCACATTTTATCATTCGATTGGTGTGAGGGCTTGTATATTGCCCGGGCGCCCAAACCGAAGCCGGTGATTTTCTTAGGGGGCCACTACCCTTATAAGTTGAAAAATAACTTCAAAATTACAGTTATTCTAACAGCCATATGTAGACTGGTAACATGTGATCTACCTTTTTTGCATAATAGAAACAGTTATTGATCGAAAAAGTCTTTCCTACCTCTAAAAAGTCAATATAGATTTGAATAGCTTCTTGATGACGTTGAAGATCTTTCAATCGAGCTATAGACAAAGAAAGATAAAAATGAAACAGTCAACAACTAAGATCAATAATAATGTAAAAACAAATGTACATTGATAATTTATTTTGAGAAAATACACAACATTAATATGTTTGAAATGTACTTAATATATGATTGTGTATTGCTTGATTGCATAATACAAATAACTTTATAGATGATCAGAAATAAATTAGATATAGTAGTGATAATAATAATACTTGGTTTAATATATACTGTATATTTGGTTAAAGTAAAGGATTTTAATTAGAAATTAAAACAGAACTACATCAAAACTCGTACTTTTGGGGGACCTAACTTGTGAATATTCAAAAATATATACATGAAAAGTTATTGAATAGTGATTGACCAACATTTATATTCATGCCCAGCCATCAACTATCTCGACATGCAATGATGGCTGATGTAGGAGTAGGTTAGTAAGAAACTGTGGTCAAGCCAAGACATGTCATCAATCCATGAAAACACTAACAATTGAACTGATCCGTATAAATAGGTGCAGACTATTTGGTTGGAGTCCATGAAATGACCAGTGTTTGAAAATGTTAAGTGACATCGCTCGAAATCATTTGGAATAACTCAGGTGCATACACTTTGCCTTCCTGTAGATCCTCAATTTATAAACTCCTAAAAGTTACTTATTATTTCACTAATTTATATTTTTTCGAACTGTATCTTCAATGCTTAATCGTTTTGATTACCAGTGATACTATTACTACCTCTACTATTCCGGGATTCGCCCTAAAAATTCCATTTCGCTGTGATAATGGGGTATAGATCACATGTGGGACCTTCAGATTTCATGAGGAACACGTTATCGTTAGACTATTGAAATTAGCAGTATCCAATAGTTGACATTTCTAACTCCAAGCAATTTGAGATATGATCAAATACAATCAGTGCCCAACTCTATATAATTCTCAAAATAAGTGAACTCTATAAATTTACCAATCAGATACGTTGGAAAACTATAATTAAGAATATTTATGTATTCAAAAAAAACAAGATAAATTAATGGGCGAACCCAATGTGATATATTTTATTAGCTAATTAATTATTTAATCAGTCATATGAAAACTGTGATAATCATGTGAACTGTATCAAAATGGAAAACAAGTGTACAATAAAGTACATAGATTATTCGCATTGCAATTGTATACTTAAGTTCTATAGATTTCGACTGCATTGATGATGATGATGAAGAAGATAATGTATTTGATGTTACGCACAGAAATACTAGTCAGTGAGACAATAATTTGAATAGATCGTATAACGTTTAATCCATCAACATTGATAAGATTAGTTCATCCACATTTAAACTATTCTAAAATAGGTAGCATGTAGAATTATATCTTTTGAATTCGAAGTCGATAGATACTCAAATTGATTTCGCGTTGCATGCCATAGTGGAATTTTTGATTGCTAATCTGAATATTGAGAGTAAGATTAGTATCCGACTACACTTACTAGATTTTAGGAAGTTGAGTAGAAGTGAGATATATGCTTCTTATGTTTACAGATATGAGTGGTATGTAGCAGTATTCGGAAGTAGAATGCCTTCCAGCATAAGATGGAATGTAGGAGAACAAATAATAAAAATGTATTTAGTGTATAAGTTTCATATTTTACGAAAGCATTGTAGGATTTCTCATGAGTTTTCGTTCACTACAGAAGTGTTAATAGCCTTTGAACTCAAACACATGAAAATGTGGTACAAAGATGGGTACGTAGATAAGTACTTGACGAATATCAGTCAGCCGTAATCAAGGCAGAGTCTTGCACCAATGTGAATTAGCCCAAGTTGTCATACCATCAGCCCCTAAATGCCTTGGTATGGCCGAGAGTGGGGTGGGCCCGCCCTCCCTCCCTCTCGAAATGCTCTCACACGGCCACGCGTATACAGCCTCTGCCAGGGAAGTCCTACTCAATGCCTTCTCGTGGCGGGGGTGTTGTTTACGAAATTGAAAGGACGAAAAGCGAATGTCCGGCGCTTTAACCGGATTCCAAACCAATGGTGCACATGGGCTCCAGTATCCTGATGGAACAAATGGCGTATGAACCAATCGTTAGTCACCGGCTACCATCTCCTTACGATGCTCCACTGCCTTGTACCATCTTACCACAAGAAGATAAAATTAATTAGATGGATAGGAAAGGGATTGAAATAATACAAGAAACAATGATAAAAAAGATTAAAGACTGAGAATATGGTTCAAGAAGTAAGAATGAGAAAAGATACATGCGAAGAAATATTGGAACTGAAGGTCTAGAGAGAGATGAAGAATGAATGCATCACTATCACTATGATCAATTCTGGGTCATGTCATTTAACATCCTCAAACAAATGAACGCATTTATCATGAGGACTCCAAGCAGGTGATGTGAACCGAATTACATAGACTAGTGTGACAGACAGAGATTTCATGAAATGATATTACGTTCTGGTTTCCTTCCAACCTACCATAACATCAGCGTCAAAATAGGTGTTGGGTGGGCATACGTAACACATGCTCCAACCACCTCAGTCAAAAGTCTACAGATTAATCAATCGACGTGGTACCTGGTTTACAATAAATTAAAGAAAACGAAATGTATGAAATAAACCGAAGGGTAATATTGATGATATTAATAGTAAATCACCTGCCAACTTTTGTGCTTGTGTACGTATTTCTGCATTACTTAAATAGTGATCAGTAGATAAATCAGCATTATTTTTATCATTCAATAGTCGACTGTTCGCAGCGGCAATACACCAGAGTTGGGTATTAGTTACAGATAAGAACGTTTTGGCAGCTAAACCATAAAATCCACCTTTCATGTAAATCTGACCAGCATAACTTAAATTTTGTGAAGAAATTAAATAATCCGCCCATAGTTGACAAATAATCTATAATATTGGATACAAAAATAGGAACAACTGAAAATTATGTTCAATCAAACTAATGAAGTTGCCTAAAATCTGATGGTGAAACCAACATGAAATATAAAAAGTCAACAGTGAAACAAGTAATCTCGAAGAATAATAACGATCGATGGATAAAATCTGTTATTTTAAAACGTTATTGGTGATTCCACTTGACATGTAAAAATCAATAGGGAGATGAAATTTTTAAGTCCTGTAGGATTAATCATTGCTAGGGAGTTCTGTATTAGAATGAAAAAGCTGTCCAGTTCTTCTAAAGTTTGAATGTTTATTTAATTAGGGTCAATTAGTAATGTGAACTATGAAATGTTTATGATCTACGTACTATGCAAACATAAGTATTTAACATAGTATAACCCGTTACATACCTATGGAAAGATACTAAATAGAATAAAGTCATCTTCTAGTCGTTTGTCCAAACACCGTTTATCTAATGAATTACATAACAAATCTTCAATTATATTAACTCATGTGAATAGTTATGAATGGGAATTTAAGTGGAGAAATGTTGAGTCGGAGAATTTTTAAAAGTATGCCATTTGTATCCAATGGAAATTAATAACCATACAAAAACAAACTCAGTAGATGAGCCACTGAAAAGAGAGAGAATCAAATACAACGTTAAAAATCTAAGTTAACCAAAAAACAAATAGGTTGACGGAGAGTTGACTTCAAACCTAAAACTTGCTATTCTTCAGTATACACTCTTATCAACGTTAAAACTATTGTAAATTAGTGGTCACTAGCTTCCAAACAGTTAATAAACATGGTGTAGGTATGCGACCACTAAAGCTGATAGTATTAGAAGACTAAAGGAAGAAAACACAACTCTTTAAGAACAAAAGATTTGAAAAGTGAAATTAGAACTTATAATTTTAAAGCATATGATAAGAAACGAATAAATCTGTTATTGTGACTGATTTCGAGCGATAGCCCCCAAACTATCATTTAGTGCTTTCTAATTACACACATCTGCAGATATAAAATTCAAGTAAAACTTATCAGTAATCAACTGTATAGGTTTGAATGCTTAGTTTTCAAAAAAATTCCTTGACGATGAATAATTGATGAGTGTATCATTCAAATAAGATGCAGTAAGATATATGATAATTACTGATTACTCCGGTTAGTTGTTGAGATAAGTTCTGTTTTAGAATGACTTGACCTTTTTACAACTGAAAAACTTAGAAAGCATTGAATAACTATTTCGTCCAATTTCGGGATCTTCCAATAGTGATGCACAGCCATGATTTCGTCAACAATCGAACATAACACCTTCAGGTCTTAAGAAGAATAAGTTTATTCAACATTATATTCTCTGGATTATCGATTGTATATTTAATATGTTCTCAAGTAAAATTCATTTTCAGTCTTTGTTTATTTTATTTTATTTGAACACATAAATATTGGTACAAGGGGGCATCAAATATATATGCGCCACACAAAACAATGAGAATGGGAAGAGAAAAAGAAGGTAAGGTGCATATAAGAAAAAAAACGATAACGACCAGATTAGTGTATGGTAGTGTAATAATAATAAATAATAATGGGGAAACGGAAAGGTAAAACCAGAAGAATTCTTTCAGTTAAGGAAGATACAACCACTTTTTATGAAGAAAGTAAAAGAACGTTACAGCAGGATCGCCACTGGCTTCTATTCTGAGCCATATCTGATAACGTCTCTAGCCTCTGTGTTGCACCATCTCTCGGACCTCAGCCAGGGAGTCATGAAGGACCGACAGAAGCCAGTCCTTTGCAGCTTTCTTTCATGCCACGACGCCATGTCATGCACTGACCACCTCTCCGCCTTTTCCAACACGTCCCAGTGTCGGAAAGTAATGCAAGACGAGGAATCCTCTGGGACAACATTCGTGGAACATATCCAAGTCACCGAAGTCGATGTTTCAAGATGGTGACACCAATTGCATTATCGTCTCTGCGCCCGAACACACGATGCCGAACCTCTGCAATACTAACATGGTGTTGCCACTGAATGTCAGCAATCCTTCGGAGACAACGGTGATCAAGCACAGAGAGTCGTCTAACATCCTCAACTCGGAGAGACCAGGTTTCACAAGCATAGACTAAATGATAAATGATTTGAACTATAAACTAAATAGAATTGTCTTTATCAATAACTTGCACAATGATATTGTGCGACATTATAGGAAAGATTAGACAAAAGACTATTAAGTTACAAAATATGAATATGTTATCCATATATCACGCTATTTTGATTGTTTGGAATTTACAAATCAATAAATAAAGAAACTAAATCAAAATGCACATATTTTGTTTATGAGTTATGATTTGTTTTACCATGTAAGCTATTTTTTTTAACTGAGAAAAAAGCTTATCAGTAGTATACACACATATATGATTAGATTAAATTAAATTAGATAGTTTTGTTATTCAATGTAATCAATAATGCAAACAAAATATTCATCTGATAACTAGATGAAGATTAAATGGAACAGTAGTTCATGATATTTTATTTATGACTGTGAAACACAAAATACCTTATAAGTGGTTTGGAAGTACTTCATTCATATGAGAAAATTATCAATATGAGCAATGTTAAATTATGACATTAAGTATCATGTAATATAAACAATTCAAATGATTAGTCAGTTAGTTACAATGTAGAACCTAGTACGTATGTACATCGGTTTAAATTGTCATACCCCATTAACACAGATAAATGATGTCAGATCGAATACCGAAATAGTAACAGTATCATTGGTAGTAAGAAAGATTAGGAATTGAGGATAAGTTTCCAGAAAGTACAAATTGGTGAAGTGAAAACATGAAAAAGTTATGAATCATTCAGAAGCTTACAATTTAGGGGAAGACAAAGAATGGATGCACCTGCACCATTGTAAACGACTGTGAGCTATGTCATTCAATGTCCCTAACCATTGGTTACGATAAACACGCGGATCTAACCAAGTAATCTATACCCATTAATATGGTTAATTCATATTGTCAGTGACTTCATGGACCGATGACGTGTTTTGGTTTGGCTACTCGTAGTTTTCTTTCAGCCTACCCCTATATCAGAAAACGTCACAGGTCGAAGTAGGCAGGGGATGGGCACGCGTAACAAATGTCCTGACCACTTCGACTAATGAAGATTTACTACCTCACCAGCCACTATAAGAGAAGTCCTACTCACTGCCTTCTCGTGGCAGGGGTGTTATTTACAAAATTGAGAGGACGAAAAGCGAATGTCCAGAGATGTAACCGGGTTGGCGGACCCTCCGTGTCCATCTGGGGGAGTTTTAAGACGCTGATTCCTAAGCAGTGTTGCATATGGACTCCAGGATCCTGAGGGAACAAACGACGTATGAACATACTGTTGGTCATCGGCTAACATGGGACTGAATCTCCTAACGTCGGTCTACCCCCTTGTGGATTAAACCTCTTATTTATTCATTTATTTATTTGAACACATAAATATTGGTACAAGAGAGCGCCAATATATATGCGCCACACAAAACAATGAGAATGCGAAGAGAAATAGAAAAAAAAATAGAAAAAAAAACTAAGGAGCGCAAAAGAAAAAGAGAACAATAACGAAGAGATTGGTGTAAGGTAGTGTGGTAGTAACGAGGTACAATCAGAAGAAATCTTTCAGGTAAGGGAGAAATAACCATTTTTTATGAAGAAAGTAAAAGAACGTTACAGCAGGATCGCCACTGGCTTCTATTCTGAGCCATATCTGATAACGTCTCTAGCCTCTGTGTTGCACCATCTCTCGGACCTCAGCCAGGGAGTCATGAAGGACCGACAGAAGCCAGTCCTTTGCAGCTTTCTTTCATGCCACGACGCCATGTCATGCACTGACCACCTCTCCGCCTTTTCCAACAAGTCCCAGAGTCGGCAAATAATGCACGACGTGGAATTCTCTGGGACGACATTCGGAGAACATGTCCAAGTCACCGAAGTCGGTGTTTCAAGATGGTGACACTAATTGAATTATCATCTCTGTGCCCGAACACACGATGCCGAACCTCTGCATTACCGACATGGTGTTGCCACTGAATGTCAGCAATCCTTCGGAGACAACGATGATCGAACACAGAAAGTCGTCTAACGTCCTCAACTCGGAGAGGCCAGGTTTCACAAGCATAGAGCAAAATTGCTCTTACCGACGCGTTGCAGATCTGACCTTTTACAGCCAGACTAACATCACGAAGGCACCAAAGGTGGCCCAGATTGGCATAAGCCGCTCTGGCTTTCACTATTCGTGCATTGATCTCATCACTCACACCCCTACCAGCACTTATGCAGCTACCCAGATACACGAACTTCTCGACTACGTCTATCTGCTCACCATCCAGAGTGAGTACAGGATTGGAATCCTGCCAGTCTTGTAGAAGTACTTTGCACTTCGAAGGTGCAAAGCACATACCATACCTACGGACACTGATTGCCAACTGATTAAGTGCGGATTGCATGCCCTGGGCATTATCGCACAGTAAGACAATATTGTCCGCATACTCAAGGTCGAGAAGTCTTTCTCCAGGCAACAGATCCACACCACCATTACTTACATTCATCAGAGCTGTTTCTAGAATGTCATCGATGGCAAAGTTGAAGAGGAATGGTGAGATTGGGCAACCCTGCCTAACCACACTACTCGAATGGAACAATGGAGAGAGGTGGTTGTATGCCTTCACTCTGCCTGAGGTGTTTGTGTATAGGGCTTTTAGGATGTTAATAAACTTCTCAGGCACACCCTTCTTCAATAGACAATCCCAGAGAACAGCCCTGTCCAACGAATCGAAGGCAGCCCTGATGTCAAGAAACACTACGATTGTTGGCCTTTGATAAGTATGGCGGTGTTCTAACATTTGGTGGAGGGTGAAGATATGATCAATACATCCTCGACCAGAACGAAACCCAGCCTGTTCCTCGCGAGTCAATCTTTCTCGGGTTTTGAACAACCTACGAAGTATGAC